TTATTATTATTATTATTATTATTATTATTAGAAACATTTTGTAGCACCACTCAGGTATGGTTTGTAATGTTTTTAAACCAGACTTTGTTGCTCCTTTCACAGCCTTCACGACAGGAAGATGTGCATTCTGGGACTCTGTGCCCTCATGGACCTGGATCACAGGCCTCAGGCTATCAACCAGGTGGGCAGCCAGCTTCTCCCAGCAGCCATTCTCCTGTTCAGCGGTCTCAAGAGGGCGTACGTCTGTCGAGCAGAGCATGAGAACGATGACGATGACGACGAGGAAGATGGGGAGGAGGAMGATGATAACAGTAAGGGTTTTCTGGGTTGCACCAGCTTTGGTTATTCTTTGTTTTAAAAGAAATGTAGATAAAGTTGGGCTTTTTATTTTCTGCAGCTGAGCTGGGTAGTGATGAGGATGACATCGACGAAGAGGGTCAGGAGTACCTGGAGATGCTTGCGAAGCAGGCGGGAGAAGACGGCGACGACGACGACTGGGAGGATGACGATGCTGAGGAGACGGCACTGGAAGGCTACACTACAACCGTAGACGATGAAGATAATTTAGTGGACGAGTATCAGATCTTTAAAGCCATACTACAGAGTAAGACACCGGCGTGGTGACGGAAGGCTTGTTTTTTTAAAATCGATGTCAGTTTGTGCGTCAGTCACTGATCTCGCCCGTTTGATGCAGATGTTCAGACCCGTGATCCGGCGTGGTACCAGGCCTTAACGCAAGGCCTCGACGAGGAGCAGCGTAAACAGCTTCTGGACATCGGCACACTCGCAGACCAGAGGCGAGCGGCACACGGTGAGCGCCGACTYAGACGAATGAAGCAGTGATGCGGCACCTAAACTTTGACAATAAAGCAAATTTTCTACATGGCATTTTTTTTCCCCATTTTCTTATTTAATATTCTCTCCCAGTACGACGTGTAATAACTTGTTCTACTGGTTCAAACAGCTAGAATAATAAACAAGACCATTCACAAAACAATAAAGCCAAAAGTATAATTATGGAGGTTTTGCTGGTGGTAAACCTGTTCATGCTTCTCCTTTTGTCTCAACTCTATTTTACAAACAAGATCAAAAAAGGGGGAAAAATAGTTTTTGTTTTGATTACAAAAAACTTCACATTCCAGTTCATTTTCCATCTGCTCTTTGCTGAACACTGAAGAATGTATGATGGTATTATTGTCGTTAAAAAACCATGACTCCTTTTCATATTGGAAGCATTTTGATTTGTGTATAAATGTTGGAAATAAAGTAGATAGTTAGATATTCAGTGGTAGTTTCTGTTGTAAGTTAACATCTGTTCTAATTATTAGCCTGATTTGGTTTCTTTTTTTCTGCCTTTATTAGGCATAAGTCCATTTTAAAAAATCAACTTAAGTTTCAATTTAATTGAATGTAACGTGATTTATAATCAGTTGTAATCAAATTACAACAGGGTTCCTGCTGATCCTTAAAAAGCATTAAAGGTCATTGAATTCATCCATCCAAAAATAAGGACTTAATTAGCCTTAAAATGTCTTAAATCAGTCTTTCAGAGGTCTTAAAAAACACATTGTAGCTAAATAGGGTTATTGTAACTT